GCAACCCCTGTTTGCAAGCCCAGCTGTCACTGTCGAGGAAAGTCACCAAGACAATCAAGTAGATAAAGTCCTTTGCAAGCGAAACTGAAACCCAACTTACAGCCTAGTGAGACAGTCTTCGGTTGTGTTCTGGTTTTCCTGGGCAAGTGTCCACAGGGCAGCCCAGCAAAACAAGTCTGCGCATTGCCAGATCAATTTCTGTGGACATCTTCATCAGGGCTACAGCTAAGTAAGGTTGCGGCAAAGCTGGGCAAGAAAAATTGCTGCGGACGGTTCTCTGGACTGGTTCCCAGAATCACACATTCCAACAGAATTGCTTTGCATCAGTCATCCCCAAAACAAGAAGGCTCCACCCTCGAGTCCACCCCGCTTGGCAAGGAAGCAGAGACCTCGCCGACGCTTGCCAGCCATTGGAGGCAAGCCTGCCATGTCGATTGAGGCGGCTTAGGAAAGCCACGTGGGAGGGAAGGTGAAACGTTCTTTCCAGTTTGCGTAGGTCGTGGATAGGCTACCCCGGCTACACAAATACCAATGGGAGAGAGAGGATCCAGTTGAATACAACAGACCCTGTGCCACAATCTTTGCTCACTTTGTTTCACTTCCCATCAGCCTGAGCAGTAGGTTGTCCCACTGAACATATCGTGTAGGCTCCTATACTTCGTATGAAAGGTTCCACAAGCCTTCAAATAATCAAGCTCTTGCCTTTGCTACTAAAGACTAAAGACTTGTTGGAAAAGAGGCTACCTGGAACCGCTCAAAACTGGACACCCAGTTCTCACCTCAAAGCCCTTTTGGCCTTGAACATCAGAGCTAGCTTCCACTACAAGCACCGGCACAAGTTCACTTTAATAGCAAGACATCTAAGCAAGCGCTTGTAACCCCTGCAGCTCTTCAGATCATGGCCGAATACCCACGCTCTGACGGTCACTTCAAAGCTGATCCTGGCATTGGACACGAAGAATTTCAAAGTCAAACTTTAGGAACTCTTGCACATGTTCAAGCCCAGGCGGAACATTTGCACACCCTTGCGACCTCGCTATCCTGTACTGTACTGTATGCCTGGCACACGTCAAACATTCCAAGAGGGGCCTAGTGGCTTCATAGCTGTTACGCATGTATAAGACCCCATGGATAGAAACACAATGAAGTTACGTGGCCTCCCTTGTCATGTCCAATCAAGACTAGACTCGAACATTGTCCAGCTGCAGGAACTCGTCAACCTGGTCCTTCGAGATCGTACGCGCTTCCTCACTAGTGGTAATGCCCTTCATCTCTGCAGAGCACCGCTTGAAGAAGCTGTCCTCTACAGAGAATAGGGAAGTGGTCAAGTGTCATTGGCTGCCAAAAGTTGTTTCTTAAAACGTTGTGCACTTATCCACAAATGGTCCTGGAACTTAGTTTGCCCCTTCAACTTTGGCGCCACGAACTCCATGAACACATCCCGGATGGCAGTGAACTTGATGGCGCTTACCTCACCCTGAGGCATGTAGCGGGCAGCAAAGGTAGTCAAAGGCGCTCCTGGCTGTCGGGGTTCCCGGCTCTTGCGGGGCTTCTTCTTTGCGCCCGCCTCCAGCGCCTCAACCTCCTTTGAGGTGTCCAGCTTCTCACCATCATCACCTTCAGGCTTCTTCTCCACAGCATTGCCTTCCTCAAGGGGTTGGCTATCCTCTGGCTGTGGCTTCTCCAAGTCATGTGAATCTGAGTGCTTGTTGGCCTCATTCGACTTGCCAGCTTTTCTTTTGCGAGCAGTATCTTGCTTGCAAAACAGTTTGGGCTCTGACTTGGCTTTGGGCTTGCTTCTGCCCTTGGCCTTGGCCTTCGCCTTGGCCTTCGCCTTCGCCTTGGCCGCAGAAGGCTTCTTCCTTGGCTCAGAACCTTCAGCCAAGTCTCCTTCTCCAGCGGCATCAGCTTGGAAGTCAGCGTCTTGGTCTTCATTGGCGTCCAAGGAGCGGTCATCAGAGCCAAGCTGTTCACGTCGAGTTACCACAGGAGCCTCGAGGGGAAGCCATGGAAGTTGAATAGTTGAAGCGCTTAAATTCAATCTAAGCCTTTCAACTAAACTTGTTTTGACAAACGCTGATAAAGGCCTGAACATTTGCGAGGTCCACGCCATTCTCCACCAATGAAGCCAAAGATGGCGTTTCAGCCTCGCCCTTCTCACATGCCGTACCCACAGCACATTCCACAGCCTGATGAGCAGGTTCCTCTTCCTTCTTGTCATCTGAAGACACCATAGGTTGGTCAACTTCTTCAGCACATCCGGCTGTGCCCATCACACTATCCTGAAAGATCTCCTTGTCACCCTTCAGGTGTTCTGGGGTTTGGGTCCATGGGACCTGGCTGTCTTCCAAGTCCTCGGTGGTTCCTGTCTTCGCATCAGAGGCAAACTGGTCTCCTGCAGGCGCAGCAACCTCACCACTGGGCAAAGCAGGTTGCTCAGATGTGTCGCCTTCCAGCGCTTCCAGGTTTGTAACCACGTAGGATTCAGAAGGTGTGTAGAAGGAGGGAACAACCGTGGGGCTCAACTCATCATCCTCATTGCCCTTCTCATCATCAGAAATGACGAAAGTGTCACCGTGCGAAACAAATCCTTTTGCAGGCGCTGAAAGGCTAGAGTCGTCAAACTGGTAAGGCAGTGTCTCCATTGTGTCAGGCAAAGAACCTCAAGTACATGGTGACCAACCAACAAAGGTCAAAAGGCCTTATAGGATAATACGTCCACCACGACAATCTTGGAGGAAGTATTATCCTATAAGGCCTTTTGACCTCTCTTGGAAAGGTACCCTCAAAGCATTCAAAATCTCATACTCATAAAAAGTTGGTGCTGAAATGGCCAAGATGCTGGAAGATTTCCCACGCGACAGCTTGCGGTCTTCCACTTGTTTCCTGCAGGGAAGGGAAAGGACACCATCCAACATGGATGGTCAGGGTTAACTCCATTAAACACCCAAAAACAAAGGGCAACCCTTTCTCCTGATGGCGTCCATCTTCTCCAATAGTTGTTGCCGACGATCAGTTTCTGGACACGAGGGTTCAGGATCTGGAAGAGTGGCTTCAGGTTTTGGACAAGGCTCGCAAGGCTGCTCATGTTCATTTGAAGGGTAGGCAGCCTCCAAAGAAGTCTCCCACTCTGCTTCATCCTCAGGCACAACCTCGAGGTAGTTTTCGACATCCCCATCCTCAATCATGAGCATACGATCATTCTCTCGCGGCTCTTCCTCCTCAGGTTCACTGGTCCAGGCATCGTCAAGGATGGTCCAAAAGGTTGCGAAAGCGTCATCCTTGGCATAGACCAGGCTTGTTAAAAAAGAGAAACCGGTTGAACAATAACAGGAAACTATTTCCAAGGTGGGGGGTCCGCGTTTGACAAAACAGAAGGGATCGCGAGGTCTTTTTGCTCTAAGGTTTTTCATGACTCCTTGTTGATGAGAGACTGCAGCTGGATGAGCACTCCCCACCCTCCAACCTACCAAAAAAAATTGGCAAATTGCCATGAAAAATGATACACGACGGCGCAGGCCGAGCACCCTTGGCCGCTCCGCGCCTGAACTCCAGCGACGAAGGCCATGGGAGAACAGCCGCTTCAACCCCCAGGAGTCCAAATCCACAGTGCCAAGATTAGGCTCCAAACCCATCGTCTTGCGAAGCTCTTCCACCTAGCCAAGTTGCAAGGGCTACACTTAGAAGAATTAGGGTCCATCAAAAGTAGAAAGTCTTGAGGGTACTGCGTGCAATTTAACATACAACAATATCACAGTAAAGTTCCGGGCCTCCTTTCTGATCCGGTCGATGGGGATCACACATGGAACCGGCGACATTTGCACCCACCACCGTGCGACATGCTCCAGGCACACAACATTGTGCTTCATGGCCTTCACTGAAGGCAAGCCCACTTTGTTGTCGGATGGCCAGCGTGTTATCTTGCCATTCTCTCTGACCCTGTTCCTTACCACACGCTCGGCTTCTAGAGTCGAAGCTAGGGATGCCATGGGTCTTTCAAAAAGAGCCAGCACTAAGACACTGAGAGAACCTCGGACCAAAAAGCTATCAATCACCCCGAATGACCAAGACCAAGCAATGAGTAGTCCACTAGAGCACTCAAGCGGAGGCATTTGCAAGCCTCCTCTCGCGATCGTGCACTTCCATCAGAAGCCACGGGCCTGGCCATCAAGGTGTGCATCAAACGAAAGCACTTTCTCAGGATACCACATTTTCCACAGTCCATAACAATTGGTTGCATAAGTGGTAGTCATTATTAGAACATAGAATGACCAGCCAACAAGAATGAACTCACAGCGAAGATCAGTGGAGCTTGCCTCATTCATCAGCATCCCTTTCCAAAACAGCCCATGAGTGTACCTGCCAAGGTTGAGATGCAGTTGCCAAAATGCTGTGGCTGGAAAATGACCGATTGGGGCACAGCTCGTGCAGATCCGGGTGGCCAGGTCTCTGTCGAGCCAAGAAAGATCAGCAAGTGTCACCATGCTTTATGATGGGATTGGAAAACATGAAAAGTTGAGTTTCATATAATTTTTGTCGTTTCATCGAAGAACCATGTTCTTCACCAAACTGCAGCAATTCTGCAGACTCTGGAGGACGCAGGTATATCTTTTGCATTCACATCTCCATTGTATATAGGGGATGTGAAAAATAAAATAACATATCATCATCAATCAACATGATGTGCTTCAGATCTGGTTGCAGATCTGTTGAGACTCACTGGTGAGTGTTCCAGAACATCTTCAAACTGATCCCCACCTGTGACAACCCAAAACCAAGGCCTCTCCCAGTACTTTAAAAGTTGCTGAAAGTCCATAAACCTACCAGGACCCTCCTGTCGGGGTGTCTATTTATAGCCCCTTAGCCGTGATTCGGGGCGTCCATTAACCACTCCTTCAGGGTCCTGGTAGTCCATTTTGGTGTCTTGGGACTGACCCGGAACGACCCTCGAGTGGAGGGACAGTGGCGGCCGACAAAAAGTTCAGGTGTGGTTTCGGCACCTTCTTGCTGAAGGCCAGTTCTTCCAAACTGGCTGTATAGAGCTCGAAGTGGAACTCTTCCTGATTTTGTCGACATCCATGACGTGTCGGTGGTCTGGAATTCCATTGGGCTGGGCCATGGGAACAGTGGTACAGTGAGTGACCACTGACCTTAGAGTGATGTGTACCCTAAATATCGTGCAATCGATCCCAAACAAGACTAATGGGACTGCCATATATGCCGCCCCATTGACCCCCCTGGCACCACCCAAATTGATCGGCAGTCCTCAGGCAGTCCCAGTAGTCGTGTCTGGGTCTGGTAATCCTTTACACGGATGTCTCTGCTTTCGTCTGCGTCCTTTCCTTCCTTTTGGTGTCGGTGTTCATCAATGGAGCCTTTCCCATTTTCAGCACTTCCAGTGGAATTGATCAGACCCGGGGCCCAACAAACCATCAAAGACCTGGTTTTCCGGAGCAACAAATAGTGTTCTTTTTGTGAAAACCTCTATGTTTCATGGGTTTGAGGTTTGAGGGCACCTGGTAGTGGATGGTGAGTATATTTCAGGATGCCCAACGTCGGTCGTTTATGTGAACCCCCATCTAAAGACGTCTTGGGCTGCCTGTGCCATGAAACCACTGTATACAAGTACCGGACTCAGAAAAGGTCTCCGAAATGGTGGCTGAAACGCAAACATCCAAGTGGCACGTGTTCAGCTGGTAGTGAGGTGCTGGTGTAAGCCTTTGAAGTTTCATTGCCTATATACTGATACCTTACAAAAAATAAGCGGATGGCTGCAAATCTGATTCCCCCAAAAGGGTGGGATGTGAACATGTTCAAGACGGTTCGGTTCGAACAGTGACTCCCTCGGTTTCCTGGGAAAAAGTTTAGTGGGGAAACTCATGCCCCCATAAAGGTTATCCAAGTTATCCACGTCGACGGGGTTTCGGACTGTCAAGTGCCTGGTACCTTTTTGTTCCAAGGGCGTGTGGTTACCTGTTCTTGCCCGTGCGATCAAGAATGTTGGTCTATGGACCTTGCTTGGCCATATGCTGCGAATTGGTGCGAGAAACGTGCGAAATTAAAGGAAGTATCAAGAAAACAACTATTACGGCCAAGTGATTTACTGAACAACACGACACACACACACACACATGGTAGTATTTGCATGCATTTCATGATATATCATGGAATGGACGGACGCAAACAAGTCCCTACATTCGAAGAACCGATCCCCGATACCCGATGTCCTCCTGATCACGGATCTTGCGAATCAAGCCTCAGAATCACGTCCAAACACATTCGTACGTAATTTGCTAGGGATACGAAACAGTCGTACCTTCGAAGGGGCAGTGCCGACTAGAGGGATCTCAACAGACTGCAGCTCCAAATAGATAGCAGAATGAGTGGGAGTCTTTACAGAAAAAGGGCGCTTGTGACGGCCTCTCTGTAGTGGACAAATCGATAGTGAATTCCAAGACATGCAATGCTTTCTTCAAGGGCATTCCCTTTTCATTCCCCATCTACACATAATAAGGTCAATATACGGGACAACTTTCACACCATATCAACGTGATATTATATATGTGTCTACCATGGGGTGCTTGCGTCTACGCTTTTCTACTTTAAAAATTCATATTTCCGAATTGTGATTTGTCCGGCTCTGTTCTTTGAGGGATGGATGGGCAAAACGAGACCAGCCGGAGACAAGTACCTCACACGGTTGGTGCGCAGCATCTGCTAATGAACGAGGAAAGCGGCATGCAGTATGTCTTTAGTGCTCTGGATGTGTCTGGATGTACACACCCATCCAAGCTGTTTTGGACTCTAGACATGATGCTTCGGAACGTCGATCACAGTTGGTCAACAAAGCGAGTCTCTATTTATCCTTGCGCAGATTCGCTGTCTGCATAGAACATTTAACGCATCAAAAGGTATCAAAGCCACGCCACAGCAGCCGAGGCATCGTTCAGGATCTTTCAGGTGGTTTTCCAAATCGACTCATCCTCCCAACAAACAGCAAAAACGTTGTAACAAAATTCATTTTAGTATATCTTTGCCGCTCTATGATGCAATGTGGCGGAAAAAAAAAACAAGAAACACAGAACAAACAACTTCTGGAGGGTGTTGGCCGCCATGTGTCTTGCTCATTCCTCACTTTCTCCCAGCTTCCGAATCGTCCCGCAAAGCCAAGAGGCGAACGAACTCGCGGAAGTCCAAGCGTTCGTTCTGATTCACCTGGGGTGTTCAAGCCGTGTCATGTCTTGTGGCTTCATTATTTTTTGGGCAGGTTCCTACATGTTTTGTAGGTACATATTGCTATACTACTGCAGTCTCTGCAATTTTGGGTCATAGCAGTGGAGCGAAGAAAGCCAGGGCCACCCATCATGTGGAGCGATTCAGTGTAATTCTGTTGTCAGCAGGAAGCAGTTATCCATGATAGTCCCACTCCTATAGCCACTCCTAGACTCCGTCCTGGGAGTCCTTCCCAGGGGCTACGACCCAAATTCACCAACATCATCAAACCCACACAACCCCTTCCACTGAGTTCACCTCCATACTCCACTCGCATGTACTACACCGAGTACTACACCGAGTACGACACCGCCACACGTGCATCGAGTGTCGCTTCACCCGCCGAGCCACGTCTGCGAAGTGTAGCAACTCACGGAAGAAGGGCCGGAACTCCCGCAGGTGGGCGTGCCTTGGTGCTTCGAAGACCGTGTGCCTCGGTTTCGGCCCCAAGAAGAAATACCCGGCTACACTGGAAGACAAAGCTCCATCAAAAAAAACACAGAGTGCCCACACATCCCCCACGCCTCTTCAAAAGACCTCCTATCTCTCCATCCCGCAGGGGGTCCTGTTCCACTCTCTCCGTGCATGCTCCGCCGCCTCGGAAAGAGCGCCTCAAGCAGGTCGACCAGTTCATGCTCCTTCCTGAGACCAGTTCAACTCGATCAATCCACCGGCCGACAAAAGGAACCACCGGGCCGGCGCCGGCGCCACCCGAGCGGGTGACCGGAGGCAGATTGGCATTCAATGCTGTAATTAGCGAACATGGCTCCGTTCGTACGGCCAGGAGCCCGAACGTAGTGTCCGATCGCTCCGTTCGTAGCGATGCCAGGAGTCCCTATAGGAGCTTCTTGCTCCTAGTAGTAAGGCCAGGAGCCTATATTTGAAGGAAACACCTCTTAAGGTGCAAAAAGAAGAATCCTGCCGCCATTTCATCTCTCTTCTTTTCCCACTCACTGGGAGCTTGAAGAAGACGCATGGGAGAAGTCAGCAACACAGAAACTCAGATGTCATGTGTCGACCTTAAAGCGCTTGTTTGAGAAACATGGAGTGCACCATTGCCATCTACCGAGGCAAGTCACCATTTTGACATATTTTGACCCAACAACAACATGTTTGTTTTTGCCCGGCAAAGGCACAACATGATGCATACCATCTGGGCATGCGGCATGGATCGGCATGGCCTACAACATTTACACACCAAAACATGATTATATTCCATCATATGGTCCGTCATAAAAAATAAAATAAAACACAACAACAACCAACAACCAACAGCAACAGCAACAACAACACCAAATATACACACACTACTACACACACAACGAGATCAATGAGGTCCCTCAACCGGAAGCACCGGACCCGCGGTTTCTCAAAACGCTCGATCCATGCGTCAGCTCTCCGCTGGCGTCTTTATCGAATCGCTGGAAGTGTCGTCGCAGCTCAGCAAGCTCGTGGGCTTCGAAGAAGTCCTCCGTGAGTTCCGTCGACCGCGACGGAGTCGAGTTCCGCGTAGATCGACGTCCGGCGTTCGGACATCTAAGGGCGCCTTTCTAGCCACCGGACAATCCTGACGACCCTATAAGATACCTGGTGGTACTGGGACATACTGGGACCTATAGGGTCTGTACAGTTTTATTTTTTGGGGGGAGGGTTGACCCTTTCTCAGCCAGATCACGTAGATCAATTTGAGAGGTTGAGGTTCAAATTCAGGCCAACAAAAGCAGCTTCAAGGGTTGACTGCTGGGTTGACCCCCGAGAAGGTCAACCCAAATCCAGGGTTGACCGGGCTGGAATAGGTCAACCCCGACAGTGGCTAAAACAAGTGGCTCCAGCCCTAGGTTTTCTTGGGTGGATCATTTTAAGGGACCCCCTTGTTAGGTAGCTCAGAGGCTGGCACCTGGATCAAGTCTTGGGTCAAACGCCATGGATTTTATCCAGTACGGCCCCCTATCTATAAGATCTTTGAACCAGAAGCACCATGTCTCAAAAGATCGCTGGACCTCCTTTGGGATCGATCCACATGCAGTGTCTCCTTCGCTGGGTCGGTCGGTCGACCGCACCTGGTCGCGCAGGGCTCGGAGTCTCGTGGGATCTGACTTGAAGCGCCTGTGACACACGTCGGATCGGACGGTGGCCAGTTGGTGGGGTGGCCCAACAGGTGTTGGCCCTGATAAGTGGCCATTGAAAGATGTTAAGACCCAATGCCAAAAAGCAGTTTGTTGAATTTTCCACTCGCTTGGTGTAAACCCGGTGAAGCAGGAGTCCCATGATATACTATTCAAATATGAAGTATAGTATAATGGGGGTGGACAGTGAAAAGGCCTGTTTGAAGTGTATATTTATACTTGTCAGGTAATTTCTCTGGGATTTCAAACCATTGCAATGATAGTCTTTACCAAACAACCTTTGTTTTACTAATGATTTTAGTTTACAAAACCAGGTCAACCATCTTTTGAATGGTCTTGGAAGGCTAGGAACTTTGTAGTGTTTGCCAAAGGAAGATTGTGAACTTTGTTGTTTTGCATTGACATTTTGCATGGCAGCACCTCCTCCACCATGCGCGTTGCGCTGAACATCAATGGGCCATGAACCCTTGCACATCTCGTGACATCTCCTTTTTTGAAAAATCCATATCTGCTTTAATTCCCCTTTTGTTTTGCACCTTTGCTTTCCCTTTCGTCCATGAATTTCCCAGCGCGTCCTTTCATGCCCGCGCTGGAAGCAAACGGAGTCCGAAGCTTCATCCACGCCCGGGCAAGCGGAAACACAAACAGGAACTTGTTGGGCGATTCATGCAAGAAATCGTTCATGTTTGATTCGCAAGCAAAAACAAATCATGTCCAATGTCCACTTTCGTTCAGAGTCTTGCTATGTTTCTTCTCTGTCACTTGTAAGGATCGGTGTTTTTTGATTTGGGATGGATTGCTGGTGATTTGCAATAGCATTTCGGAAGCATCTTCTACACTAAAGGCAAAAAACATGAAAAACAAAAAAACATGTTGTTCACTGCTTCTGGGCTGTAATGCTGTAACTGAAAAAGGAGCTCCCATAACTGACAAGGAAGATCCATCGAAACTGCATGGTGGCCTGATGTAAATTGAAAAAACAACACGTTGCGCAACACCATGTTTACTGTCCATCCACAAATCACAGACTTGTCGATGGCATTCTCAGGGGTAGAATCGATCAATATAGCGATCTGAATTTGCGACCGAATCGATTCATCGACCGAATCGATCCGAATCGACCACTCCCTGATTTCCTTCCTCATTCCTTCCTCATCCGCAGCCAGGTGGCTGAACGATCTTCAGGAACCTCGGGACAGCGTCTTGGTCGGCCGGAACCGAACCTCCGAAGCTTCACCCGGAAGTGGTGAACGTTCCGGGTCCTTCTGACCCGCCCCAAGCCAGTTGAGGGCCCACACGTTCTGACCTGCATTGCGAGTTGGGCACCCAGCAGTTCCTCTTCATTTCAAGGTCTCCCTTGTCTGGTGACGACCCATGGAGACGACCCAGCTCGTGGTGGGGTCGTGGTAGGTCGTGGTGGTACTGATGAGACGACCGACCCATGTGGTGAACCTGCGTGCACCAGGAAGGAAACCTTGGAGGAAAGTTGCAAGCCATCATCCACAAGCGCGGTCTGAAGTCCTCTCTACGTACCAAACAGATCGGACGGAAGTTGCAAAGTACATGTGTAACGCACAGGAACCAGGATATACATGACATAAGAATGGACTTGTAGCAATTGCCTTTGTGAGTCTGGGTTTCTGGTCTCAGGGCGATTGGACTGCCAATGACAATTATATGTTTGCTTTGGTCTTCCACCTTGACCAAATAAGTGCAATAGTGTGCATAACCACTGGGGAGCAGTAGGATTCTTGTCGGTGAAGATCGACATCAACAACAACATCAACAACAACAACAACAGCAACAGCAGCAACAACAGCAACAGCAACACATGGCTTACACTGGGTGGGGTACCTCAACACTCCACCTTTCCCCAGCCATGGGGAGGCCCCCACTCGCCCCGGTCAAAGAGAGATTCTTCGGATGTTCATCCAGAAAAGCTTCGTCGAACAAAGCTTCGTCGAACCCAGGATTCATCCAGGAATCGTCCTGAAAAGCCATGAAAAGCCAGCAACCTCAACCACATTAGCAACCAGCTCTTCCTTTGAAATATGGTGAAATCCAAACAAATAACCATAACATTGATATCAAAACCATCAACATCCATGCACCATCCACACCCGCCACGCTCACATCAATGCCCGAACCCAAAATCTGGCGACGTGTCGCTGTTGCAGGCGCAAGCCCTCGGGCCGCAGCTCCGGGCGAAAGACATCTTCATCAAAACCCAATCCTTAGATGGCTGCGGTCAAAACTGGGATAGAGCCTTAGATGGCCTTTAAACTAGGATTGCTCTGCGGTCAATCCTTAGATGGCCTCGGTAGTGACACCCCCTGTTGTTTTTTTCCCACCAAGAATGAACCGCATAGACTACCGAGGTCCACCGACACCCGTACGGGCTCAGAAGGATTGGCTCGTCGGGTGCTCACCCGAGAAGGATTGGCTCGTTGGGTGTCAAGCCTTCACATCTCTCTCCCTTCAAAATGGGTGTCAACCAAGCATAACAATCCAGGAGTCACAAGACGAGGTGCCGATCCTATTGGAGGTTAGGGACAGGGGTGCCCCTGTCACATCCACTCACTGGATGGGCCTAGGGACCAAACACCACCCCCACAATGTGACTCCTGGAAAGCAGGTGTTTTCAACCTCACTGGGCCCTTCCACCCAGTACGAGGGCGTTTCGAAAGAACTCCAATGCGCACCTCCCGTTGACCACGCGAGGTGTAAAGAGCGACCTTTTGTCGCACCGGACGGACGTGAAGCACAGGTCCCGCACCTGACGTACGTCGTACGTGGTTTTGGTGGTGCACACACGGCATCGGCTTGGTTCAGCTGGGTGGTGCCGACGAGGAGAGGACCGACCAAGTGGACTTGACCTGTCTTCCTCTTCCGCCACCATGGCAATCCTCAATGACCCACATCTCCAATGAGCCACATCGCTCCCGCCACAAGTGGATACTGCGCCCCAAGTGGCTCTGAAAGGCATCGAACTGATGATCTTCATCCAGAAATCCCAAGTCCAAGGAATCAAACCTTGGAAGATGCCGGGTGGCCGCGGCCGGGTGGCCGTGGCCGGGTGGCCGTGGCCCTGGCCGCCCTATATCAGAACTCGGGCGTTGCTAAGGTTCCATGTCACCATGCACAGTGGGATGTCAATTGTTGCAGGTCATTGTCTTCATCGACAGGTCGCAAACTTAATAGAAATAGGAGAAGAAGAAGAAGCACTAATTGCAATACTACGTGTCATGGTAGTCTTTATCATCCGTGTGATTCTCGGAAGTGACATGTGTTCATCTACTCGTCCTTTCCCGGAGGCCCGCTCCCACGTCTTCGATGTCTCAAAAAAAGGCCTGACTCCCGAGCCATTTCGCTGGAAAATCAAGGCGAACCCTTTTTCATGAGGAAATCAATCTCCACCTCCCAAAGAACAGGGGTTTTGCAGGTGATTCCCTTTTCCGGAGGGCGTCGCCGCCCGATGCCGGCCCCGCCCGCCGATGCCGGCACGACGCTCGAAAAAGGCCTCCGTGGCCTTCTGCCGATCCTGGTCGCGACACTTTCCTCGAAGCGGACGGAACGGGAATGACGCGGACGGAACGCGTGTGATCTTCATCCGATGGTGGTGTACATGGACCCCCCATCTAAAGGACATCTTCGGGTTTGTGCCATATACTCTGAACACGCTGTACTGCTGCCGCTGCGTGATGGTGTGATCTTGGTCTGCTAATGTCTCCACCAACTAAGATGATGCACGCCCAGGCGGAATCTTTGGAGTGATGAGGTCAACATATATGAGTGTTGTTGTGCGAATGTTCCTATCAAAAGTATATGAATCATATATGGAGTATCTCCGCACTTACTTGTTGCCTTAAAGCCATCAACACTCACGTCATTTGCTGTGGTGAAGCGAATAGTTTCATGAATCTGATGACAGCAAAGTTGCCAAAATGGTGTTTCAAAGCTCTTGAGTCCAAGCCACTTGAATCAATTCCAATCACCAGGAGTCACTCCAGGAGTAGTTTGTAGTCGCATCCGGCCGTGGATGTGACGAACGGGGCACCCACTACCTGTGACTCTTCCCGACTGACTCGACAAGTCCAGACAGTCCGAGTTCCCCCAGTTCCACCTCTGAACTGTCAGAGTATAGCTTCAAAAAGGATCTTACACACTCACAAAACAGGAGAGTATATACAGGAGAAACCAATAACATAGTAAGAAGTTTAAGAAGCATATCATATACCAAATCTCTTTAGGGGTGCCCCGTGCGATCGCACGGTGCGCGCTGAAAACGCTGGCTCCCTCGTCCTTTTGAACCGCTCCGTGCGATCCCTGCGTCGGATGAGGCGGTTTTGGTGCGGCAAACGACGAGACGAGGGTCGGAGGAGCTTCACAAAGAGGGTGAAGTCCAACAAGCCATCGCCATCCAAGTCCAGCTCTTGGACCTCTGTCTGTTTGCGGAAGAATACACGAGAACTAACGGTGAGGAAGGAGAGAAGGATTCTAAACTTGGGATTGGGAATCATGTGGAACAGATTGTGTATGTTGGTAGCAATAAATGATATTGAACAAAGATGACCAGGAGTCACATGTCGGGGTAGCCCTTGTAGCCCCACTTCTTGGCACACCAAGGGGTGACCTCCTGGGAGAGACAAACAGTTTAGGTTTATTCAACGCACTGAGTTTGGGTATTGAAACATTGAGCTTTGCCGTACATGTGGCCAAACGAACATGAAGCAGGAATTTGAACAAACAAGTATAACCAATGAGGCATCTGAAGGTGTCCTAGTAGTCATCTGCTGACTTTCCGCTTGGTTCACCTGGTTCAGCTACTTCCCTTAACAAAAAAAACAGCCAGCTCATCACATGTCCAAGTCTGGCAAACAAACCCTCTTGAACCTTGGTATCGCTTGAAGTACTTGCAGATCCTGGCAGAGCTAAGAAAGGCTCTAGTCGCCCACACCTTTTAAGGTCACCACTCCAAATTACTACATACTACGAGTACCTTCTGTAGTGGCAATGCCATGCATAAGAGGGGGGTTGTTTCCAACAAGCAGTGTACACGAGTTGATGTAACTGCCGTATACAAAATTTGTATTCATGGCTTCTTCCGCGTAACCAGTGCCCAAACCGTCGCTTCGCTGCCGTCGCTTCGCCAGCACTCTCTTCAGTGGAAGGAACCAAATGCTGCACTCGATCGAAATGGTAGAGATGCCCCAGCCAGCGCAAGGCCTTCCTAAGATCGCGAAAAAAGGAAGGTCTGGGGGTCGGGTTCTTCGTTCTCGCTCTCGGGCGCCTTTTTTTTTGGAGGGAGAAGTCCCGTGCTCCCGTGGTCTTCTCTATAGGGGAAGAAGTGGAGACCACCTGAGCAACAGCTAGTGATGTACTCGGAAGCAAAGCCGTGAAGTCATGCAGCTCAACGATCATGCATCATGCGCAGGACCAAACGTTCCGCCTGCTTCTGAAGCCTCGAATCATGCGACTCACTTTATCTCTTCTGCCCTCTCAATCAGACAGTGGGACTGGCGAGGACTGGGAATCTTTTGTAGCGCTTGCAGACTTCCAAACGAATGTAAACTCTGAATGAACAACCCCCCCATTTGGATATACTGGGATTGTAAAGAACCTCTTCTAAGAGCCGTCCTATGCAGGGGCTTCTGAAATTCAACAGCCCTTCGTTTCGCCAAGCAGATCCCTTCGCTTCGCCCCAAGGCTCTGAAGCGCGGGCGTCGCAATCTCCGCCTGGGACTTGGACCTGATGCTCCGTCGCTCAGCCGAAGACGGTCGGTGGCGTTCGGTATGATGAAGACGAAAGAAGGTTGAGTTTTGGATGTGATGTCTTTTTTGGGCTGATATCTCGTATACTTGACTAAGGCAAATAAGTGAGTTAGGTGCTCGATGAAATCTGGAAGTTGGGTAGGCTTTCGAGGCAAACAAACATCGCCGATCCTGTGGCCCATCGACATGAAACTCCGTCTTCGTGTCGGCTGGAGCAACAGCAGATTGGGTCAATGGCTTTGCGGCACTCACCCGCACAAGGTCCCCAGGAAAGAAAGCAACATATTGCAGGGGGTTACCATAATGGACAACCCTACACTGCTTATAGGTCACCATTGGACACCCATTGGAAGCGCCAGGTATCAGCAAAAAAATATTATGTTTGATTATACTGTATGCGTATTATCTCAGGTGTAGTGCCTGACATACCTGTGTAGTGCCAGACGCAGAAGCTATAGCAGTGCTTGTTCTGACATACCGGTAAGAGCTTGGTCATTTCCCAAACCCTTCACGTCGCATGGCAGCTTCTCCATCCCTTCACCAATGGCGCCGGCAGCTGACGACGAAAACCCTCGGCCGAACGATCGTCCGACGGATTCCGACGGAGCCCAAGGCGGCCGCCCAGGCACTGCAAGGCGAAGGCCACCTTCATTTCCTCCATTTCCTCGTCGGTGAAGCTGTCCCGCTCCCGGATGCTACACGTCCTGAATCGACCCCAAACAAAGACTGCGGTTCCGGGATGCGAGGGCGAATGATACGAGAGGTTGGCCCCGGTGCGGAGTAAAATCCACACATCTGACCCCTTCAGACCCATCATTATACAGATATTGGACAAATACACTAAACATCTCTAAACCAATGATGGTCTGTCTGCAATGTTCTGTTGGTGTTGAGGGTTGGTATATCATGAATATCTGCAGGACAAGCGCAATCATGCACAAAAACAAAAGGGTGAGTCAATCCCAAGATGCTTGCCCTTACTGTCCTCATATTCTTTGGCAAAAGGATGCCAAAATATGCCAAAGCTGAAGAAGAACACAACAAATAAGATCTTTTCAGTCCCAACACAAAACCAACGAACCCCAAGAACCATCCTGGCTCCATGTTTCTATGATGGACACCACCCGATCCAAGGATCAACTCCCGCAGCTCATCGAGGCCTCGAGAACGCGTGGAACGGCGGTCTCCCGAAGCTCACGGACGGGCGGGCGCAGGGGTGCAGGGTGAAGGAGGAACAGATGGGAAGATGGAAGATGATGTTCAAGCCCTATACAAATCAAATTTACATGTGGGGTGTTGTAAAAACCTGTAAAAATCGTGTCTTCTGCAATACCTCGAAACCATATTATCGTTTTTTTCTACTAGGGTAGGAATGCATTAGTAGTGTTAAGGTGCATGCCAATACTAAACCGCTGAGCACGGGGTTATTACAACAGGCCATGTCTACAAATCTCTATAGTTTTGTTCGTCGCCCTATGAATATGATGCTATATCCAAAACGGTTCAAGCCCTACACATCGACTTCGACTGTCTAGACGTTTCAGAATTTCATCGACATCGAAGGTGAATGTACGAACAAAGAAGTTCAAACAGTCAGGTCTCTGACAGTCAGATCTTTCGTCTTTGACTCCGATAAAGAGAAGAACAGGAACCCAGTTTCTGAAGTCACTGCAATGACTTTTCGGTAGATTCATCATAGATGACTTGAATCGTACAGAACAGGATCCGCGCGAGTCCGGTGTCTTTGAGTGGACTGGTGTCGCCTGTTGAGTGGACCATTTGGATCCACGCAACCGCTTTTCGGTGAAATCCTGGAAAGTTGCTGAACTTCACTGAAACCGCTTTTCGGGGGTGGCACTGGGTTCGCTCTAGCTTTTTGGGGCGCCGACGTTGCACACCACTGAGATCGGACATATGAAAGCTTCATTATCTGCTGCGTTTCCAGGATATCTTCCGCATGAAATCATGCGATGATGGTACTATGAAACACATTCTGAACATGGTCATTAGCCGGAACCATCGTTTTTCTTTGCACGTGGTTTCGTTTTCGGATGCCTCCTACCTCATCCGGATGCCAAGGCGCCGGGTGGATTGGACGCAAACAAACACACACATCGATCCCGACGGAGGCTGAAAATGCCAGAGAACATGAGTATACCTGGACCTTCAAGGGGTGTCCAATGGAGGCCCCTTAGTGGTGTAGGGGCTTCCATTGGTGACCCCTTTGAAGGTGCTGGTAGGATCATCTGTTTTTTTTTGTCATGATGGGTCATGTTATGTCCTAGTTTCGATCTATCAATAATCCAAAAAAAGCGCTTTGGAGGCTCCAAATGGGTCACCTTCAGCGCCCAGGTCAGACCTCCGGTGCCGCGGCGCCGAGATTGAACTCCACTTGCGCGAAGGGCATCCCCAGCAGCTGGCTATTGCGCCTGGGGGGCCGAGAGGTGCTGCAGCTGCGCGTCCGTCCGGCGACTCAGCCCCTAACTCAGAGGACCACAGTCGACTGGAGGACCACTGTTGTTTTAGCTGGAGGACCACAGTCGAATAGACCTCTACCTGTCAGAGGTTTATACATCAGATGGGTTTGGAAAGGATTCCAAAGGCCTGAGAGGGAAAGGAAGTATTGGCAACGCCTCTGTTCAGTCTACTATCAAACGGTCAATCAACGGCTAATGTAGACCTTTGATTTATAAACGACCCTAGAATAATGTCACTTTTTTTCCTGCACAGATTTATAAAGGCCCCCAGAATAATGTATTTTTTTTTGGGAGGGGTAGTTGTAGTGGGATATTTTTTATTGTTATAGGTTTCTTTTTCCCTTTTGAGTTTGCTGGGATTTGCTTATCTTACAGGCTTTTGGATGGAGATTTCTATTAAACAGTTGAAGATTTCGATTGAGATTTGATGCTTTTGGAGGCTTTTGGATGGAGATTTCTATTAAACAGTTGGAGATTTCCTTTCATGCATATATCTAACTATAAAAATAAGATATAAACTGATAGTTGCCTGACATTATTT